CTGTTAGTAGAATGTCTAAAGTGGACTATCGAAATAAAGTGTTACACAATGCTCTTTACAGGGCTGGGTTGTCACCACCGTCTCCTCCAACTCCTTTTATTGTTGTCTTCATGAATTGTTTGTCCATTCTTAAATGATTCTCTTCTTAATCACATCTATGTGTATGAAATGTGCTGTAAAAATAACCCGACCCTGCCTAAAATAACAGTCCATATCTCTGAATCAAGGAGTGTCAGATCATCACAGATCAATGTTTTGGCAGGTTTGGGGCTCACGACGGTGTGAGGAAGATCATAGAGAAGTCTACATGATTTTATGCCAAACGTTTGAGTTTGAACAAGCCTTAAATTGAATTCATAAGAGGGTGTGAATGGAATTGATTTATGGAATCGGTGTCAACACCCAGCCCTACTAGTAATAATGATGCTGACATAGCACGTCTCTACCTCCTGTTTGTCCTGAAGAATGACGGTGCATTCCTGTTCCACCACCTCGAACATCATTACCCGACACAGCTCCCTCCTGACGGACATGGTCATGTTAGCGAATGCCGGCAGCTGGTGCATGAACTCCAGGAGCTGCTCTGTAGAGAGAGATGAGAGAGATGTTGATGAGTGTGATGTTTGCCTTTCATTTAGACTAAAAGAAAAACAAGAAGTGATTACTGTGTATCAAGTAAAGCATTAGACTGTTTGGCATTGTGACATTTTTTTCGTGACAATTATGTGCAACACACTTTGTCCTGATTTTCAAACACATTTATGATTCCAGAAAGCGAGAGCACTTAAACAAGGTTTCTGCAGCTTTTATGAAAGTAAATTATGACTTTTTAAAGACCCTTTTAAGACCAAGTAAAGAAGGAATCAATTGAAGAAAACACAATATGTCAGTATTCTCTAAATATAAATGTTTAGAGAGCATGCAATGAGTTGAATTAATAATACTTCAGAGTTTGAAAACACAACTTCTTACCGATCTCCATTACTTTTTTTTTTTTTAATTTTATTTAAAAAACATTTAAGCTTAATAGCTTATAAATAGCTTAATTTAAATATATATATATTAATAATAGGAATAAATTATTTTCTAATAATATAAGTCTTTAGTTTACTATCACTTTTTATCAACTTAACACATCCTTGTTGAAAAACAGTATTAATTTCAGTTTCCAAAAAAATGTAAGCAACACAACTGTTTTCAACATTGATAATAAAGCAGCATATTAGAATGATTTCTGAAGGATCATG